GCTCATAGGTCAAACTGACTTGGTGATCTTTTAGCCCATCCTCTATGAAGTGAGTATTGAATATTCACGAGCTCTCATACTCCTTTAGGTTTTGCAAGGCCATCAACGACTTTTCCCATTGAAATCAACTCAAAGTGATCCCAACATTTTGCTTGTTTTTTGGCTTTTCGCTTTCCCCTCGCATCTGCGATATTTAATTGCTGATCTTCATCTTCATGTTTCGTTTCGGGAACATTAATATCATCCAAATCAATTAGATTGTGGCTTCCCTGACCGTGAATGTGAACATCTTCAGGTATCGGTATGTCATTTAGACCGGCAAATTTATTTGGAAATTGACTTTGTGGTGTCCTAGGCGATTCTCCATGATGTGGCTCACATCCTGTATCAAACAAGCTCTCAACAAATGAACGTTAATCTATTTCTATGATTATTTATGATGAAATCTGGACTAGATAAATATAAATGTAATGAGATTGTGAGAATTGAGAATTGGATGAATTGAAATTGTAACTAATAAACTATAAAAATTGAATTGATATTGTATATTTTGCAGCACAATAGAGTAAAAATTCGATAATTGATATAATAAAAGAAAGTTGAGAGGGTTGTAATTTTGGAAAAGCAATTGATATGAAAAAAAAATTTTGGGGGAAGGGGGTATTTATAGTAAAAAAAGGGGGGAAATAAAAAAAAAATTCAGTGACCAAATGGTCACTGAACTCACTAAATAAAAGTTCAGTGATCGTTCTGGTCACTGAAAAGTGACCAAAACGGTCATTGGCTCGACGAGCGCCGAGCGGGATCGACTCGCCTCCCGACGAGGCCCGCTCGGCTCGTGATTTCACGAGCCTGAGCCGCCCATGAGCCTCTTTTCCACGAGCCGAGTCGGCTCGACCCAATTGACATCCCTATTAAGAACTTATAGTGAATTTGATTTTCTCGAATTTCTCTTTTTGTTAGTACATTGCACAAAGATGCAGCAAGTCTTTGAAGATTAGAACCCAAGGTTATCTAACATTAAAATTCCATTTTTCGTATGTTTATTATTTCCTTTACAACAAAACCTAATGTGTAATCAAAATTTAAATATAAAAATTTTACAAATACTTTATAAATTCATAGCTTTAATGCAACACAATAGAAAAAAAAAATATAGTTAGTTAATATTTCATAAGAACTCAAATTTCTTGTTGTTTTCAAAGTGATCGGCTATCAAGAATAACATTGATGAGTACAAAAGATAATAAGGTTATATGTCGTTGTATGAATTTTCTTAAAAACTAAATTTACTGCCTGTTTGAGAGGGATTTTTTACCCCAAAAAATTGATTTGTTAACCGTTATTTCACTATTTCAACCGTAATTTTTGACTTCTTCTCTCACATGTGGACCCCACTTTTCTTCTAACAGTTAAAAAATCAATTCTCAAAATCCCTCCCAAATGGGGCTTTATATTCGATTTTACCATATAAGCCTTGTTTTATAGTTTATCATTTTTTCCACATTTATGAGTTGATCTTGAATTTAATTTGGGGTGTATCTTTTGTTTAATTGATATTTCGTATTGTTATACTTAAGAATGAAAAGTGATTTCATACTCTATTTTTGTTCTATTTTCAATCTCCCAAATAGTTTTATACTTTATTTTTATAATTTTTTATATAAAGAATCGGATCAGACCGGTTCTATAGTTAAATATGGAACCAATGGTTCTATTTCTGCTATTTTTATTGGTATTCAATTCTGTTTCATTCAAAATTGGATTGAACCAGGCTGCGTCCACTCCTAATAACAACCTATCCTAACCCTACCCAGACATCACCACTAACTAGGAGATTTCTCTGGTCGCCACCCTCGACCACCATTGGCCCCTACCACAACATAGTAAGCAAAAGCACAATTTACCCACCTTCAACACTTATTCCCACTAGCAACATCACCACTTCTCCCATAAGCAACACCATTTTTAGATTTACATTCATCATTCTCTACTCCCAATTATGTCGACACCACTGGTCTCAAATCCCAGCCCCATCACACTTCCATTCTTAGATCCCAACACTGCTACACCACTTGTACATCTTCCACCATCAACCTCCACCATCTACACCCTAAATTTTACAACCCACCCACCACAAACTTGTAAGGGTGCCACCACAACCCTACAATCATCCTTCTTAAAATCCCTAGCACAAAATCATAGTAATTATGTAACTTTATTTCAAATTGTTCACTTTATCCCCTGAATCCAAAATTTTTTTGGATCAAAATTCAATGTGTTCATTTCCGATCCAATTGAGATTTGAATTTGTATGATAGATTCCTGGAAAAACCAAACCCAATGGCGGATTTGATTTTTCAACTTGAAGCATCTACGTCAAACAAGAGTTGACCAAACTTGGGGGAGAAAACTATGGTTTTGTACACAAAGAACTTTGTATTCAGATTTCGCACATTGAGAACTTCAGACAGGAGATAACCAAATTTAGGCAAAAATCAATATAGATTTCAACTCTAATTGACTTTTGATCGATTGGCAGAATTTTTTAATGGAAAATTATTAGAAGTCTTTCCGAGGTACGTTTATTGATAAGTGTGTTTTTGCACACTTATTTAGGTCACAAACATGACTTAATTACGAATAAAATGATTGAATTGTGACTTAATTTCATTACATTTGTGAATTGTAGGTAACACCGATGAACATGGTGAAATACATGAGAAAAGACGCGAAAAAGAACTAAAATGACACAAAGTGAAAGTTCAAAGACCAAGGTGCAATTACCCAAAAGTTGACCCGATGAACAAATCAAGAAATTGAGTTTGCCAAATACAAATTGATGACATTTTGGGATGATGGAATGTGAAGAATGAAGAAAAGATGTGAAGAAGTGGAAGATTAAAGTAAAATGACCAAATTGTAGGAACTGAAAGATTTATTCTACCATGCGGTCGCATGGTAGAAACGTCGTGCGGCCGTACGAAGTGATGCGGGGATTTATACTGGAAAAAGATGATAACCATGCGGCCGCACGGATTAAAACCATGCGGTCGCATGGTACAAATTCAGGGCGAATTTTTTCTTTCCTTATACGATTGAAATACCTATGGTAACCTAATTTTCCACGGGATATAAATATCAAAAACATTCCAGAGACGCCCAGAACGTAATTGGAGGCTGAAAAACAACTCTTGGAGAGGATTTGAGCACAAGAACAAAGATTGACACGAAGAAATTCAAGATTTATTCAAGTTTTATAACCCGGTGATGTCTTATATACAAACTTTGATGTATTTTGTTATTTTAAGCATGCTAGGCTAGATTTTTATTATGTTAGGAGAGTGATGAACCATGTGATTTGAATTTTAATATTTTAGTTTTGCAATTTGATGTTAAGACACAATTTCTATTATGTTGAATGATTTATATATAATTAATGTTTCCGCAATTAAGGGCTCGTAATTGTGTGAATTTAAGTGATTTATTCTTGCATTCGAGAGAATTGGAATAGATTTGACATAGTATAAATCATCGTAGGGTTCGATAGTGGATAGAAATATACAGCTATGCTCTATGTGAATCTTTAAATGTTCATAAAATTGCATGCATTTTTACAAATGCTCTTGTCATAGAAATATAGATCGGTGGTATGTAGAGATAGGTTTGATACATCTCGAGAGAGAGAGTATTGGATAAACTTAGGAACATTGATTCGTCAAAATTGAAATGTGTTGTCATATTGTGAAACTAGGGTTTAAAGTGATAATTGCATGGGAATTGGTGATCCTAGCGTATTTCATTCCCAATAATTATAACAAGTGCGTTCTCAACTTTTAGATTTCATTCTTGAGTTTAATTTATTGTTTTGCATATTAATTTCAATTCAATCATAAAAAAATTGCATAATTGAGGTTCAATTAGGTCTATATCCACTTTGGTAATTTAGTTTCGGTTAAGGCTAAGGTAGATAAAATTTGAACTAATCAATCTCTGTGGGATGATATTCGAACTCACTGAATCCACTTTATTACTTGTTAACGAACCGTACACTTGCGGTGGTTTAAAATCGAAAGAAATAATTTCGCGAACATTTATTAAAAGATTTGGGATGTAGGTGCTGCGATTTAAAGGTTTGGGACCGTAATATGTATTTTTGAAAGGCTTAAAACCTCTGTGGCTCTATCTTGAATTTTCCTTTTCTAATTTGGATATAAATTCAGACGTTTAGATTCGTTATTTAGTAAAATCTCTATAAAATAATAATGTTAGATTGAGAAAATTTATTATCTTAGGGGAGTTATTAATCTATCAATAAATGAATAGTTTATTAATTTATCGATAAATGAATATTTATTAATTTATAGAGTATTTTGTATTTTGTAACTTGTATTATATTTTATACTGATGAAAATGACAACGTGATGAATCTTCTATCAATAAAAATATTTTTCTAGGGCTACTCAATATACCTATCAATAAGGATCATGATCTAGATGATAATTGTGTTTTACCAACTGTTTCTTCAAGAGAGGCATTTCAGGCAGTTGTAACCTTAAATAATTACTTCGTACAAAATAAAAAATATGCCAAATATAGTATTACATTGCAAAAAATCAGGGATGAAGTTGAATTTGAGTTGTGTGAAGAGAAAAAATAAAAGATTTTAGAAGCATATTTTGAAAAAAATAATAATAATAATAGGGGCAGATCAGATTAGGGGCTGAGGTGCCCCTGTTTTTTTTTTTTTTTTTTTTTTTGGTCCCCGCCCTGTCACCCTGGCCGAACTCCGTTGCCAATATACGGGATCAATATTTATGCCTGAGAAAGCCACGTGGTATTGCATGTCAACCATCTGTACTCTGATCTTTCTGGCACGTGTACTCAGCAGTCTTCTGTTCTCTCATTCATGCAGCTTTTCTTCCCTTCTTCTTCCTTCATTTTCACAATGTATATAAATTCATTTATAAATCCAGTCAAAGTTAAAAAAAAAAAAAAAAAACCGTATACAATTACTCCCGTTTAGCATCGATAGACAGGAACGAAACAAGGCTATGGATAGCACCACCGTGGAGCCAAGTGTTGCCCTGGAAGCTGGGGCGGAGCAGCTGTCAACGGCGGCAGAATCGGTGAAGAAGATGAAGATACTGGTGGCGATAGACGATAGCGACGAAAGCTTCTATGCACTGGGATGGGTTCTTGACAACTTCTTCAAGCAACCATTGGCATTGGATGTGCTCACAATTGTACACGTGATTGAGCCATTCCCCAGCTACGTCTTCCCCGGCGCACCCGGTTAGGATTTTAATCGCAGATGTTATAACTTAAAAAATTATTAATCATATGGCTTATAACTGAACTTTTTGCAAATTTCTAAAGAGTTTTACTACACTTACAGAAAAACTTTCACAGAGATGTTACAGATTTCCACTTGGGGCAATAATTTTTTTGAGTAAGAAAAGTTATTTGATTTGGGCTCCTAATCATTTTATTAGGAGAGTATGATGATTAAAATGAGTTCGGAGAAAAATGATTTTTATAAAATGCATGGACTAAGCCCTTGTTTGAGCCTCATTCTTTTTTATTTAAAAAAAAATTGCAATTTTAAATAGTGTTTTGATAAAAAAAATATGTGATTAAAAAATAAAGAAAAGTCATGAATTTGAATGTAATATTATTTTATTGAAGGATGTGTAGTTAAAGTAGAGTCAAATCGCTGTTAAAAAATATATTTTGATTAAAAAATAGGGCTCAAACAAAGTCTAAATGTTGCCCTATAGACCAGATTTAGTCCTCGTTTCCTTTAATGAAAATATTTTATTTATTTATTTATTTTAAATTTTTGATACAAGTTTACTGGTTGAAAAGTTGGGGGTCAATAAATATGCGGTTAAAATTAATTTTAAGTTTTATTCGATTTTTTCTTTTTTTTGCTTATTATTTTTTGATGTGTACACTGTACAGTGTACATAGTAATTTTCTTAAGTAGCTGACTTTAGTTTACATGTCAAAGGTTACGTGTTTTATTTTCAAAATATGTTGTTAAATAATTGCTTACTTTGATTCATGATGAACTTAACTAGCTAGCTAGCCTTTTTCTCTAAGAGTCCGTTGATTGCAAAGGTGAAATTTGGGTGGAAAAAAATGAATTTCAGGGAATTAAATTGATGGAAAATTAATTTTCTGAAAATTGTAAATTATTGTATTTGATTATAATTTTTCATGTGAAAAATGTTTAAATTAAAGTGTTTTTTTTGTTCATTTGGTTTTATTTTACATAAAAATTGTCAACAAAATGGATAAAATTTACTGGTATTGGGGATAGAATTTGTTTCCATTGCAAAAAAAATTAAAAAAATCCAAAAATCATCTACATTTTGGTATTCGTTTGGCTTTGTTTTATATGAAAATTGTCAATTTAATAGATATCTTTTTTTACAATTGTTCTTAAAATTCTTTTCCATTGCCAAAAATTAAAAAAAAAATAAAAATCTGGAATTCATTTTCCCACCATATGGGTGGGAAAACCAATTCCTTGATTGTGAGGAAAAGAGGCGTGTGTGAGGCTTGCATGGAAAATGAATTCCATGGAACTTCTTCCCCATCAAACACTCAAATTTGCCAAAGATGGAAATTCACTTTCCATGGAAATTATCCCCTATCAAACGATGCCTAAATGGATTTGTCTTCCGTTTAATATGTCTTATTCACCACCGTTGATCCTTTCATGTATATCTGTGTTTCAAGTTTCGTGACTAAATTTTCCATGTTTTATCGATCATCCAAATCAGCTATTTTCCCAACAACTTCACTACATTCTGTGAAAAAAGTGGAACAACAAAATGCTTCAGCGATACTCAATCATGCTCTGCAGATTTGTACTGAGAAAAAGGTTAGTTTCTACAACTTGTTTAATCGTACTTGATCGTATGGCTCATGATGGGATTGAACGGTGTTGAAAAAGAAACGAGCTAAAATCTTATTTAGTCCGATCTTTATTTAATAAAGTGTAATACTTGACGTACTAATAAAAGTGATCTTGAAGTTTATAGTACTTGGCTTCACTTCAATGTCACAATGCCCTATTGAATACTCAAATAAATTAACCAATCACTTTAGTTTTATATTTCTATTTGGAACATAATTATTATACATAGCTTTGCATTTGCAGGTAGAAGCAAAAAGTTCACTCCTTGAGGGAGATCCAAAGGAAGTGATTTGTGAAGCTGCAGAGCTCATGCAAATGGATCTTCTTGTTGTAGGTAGCCGTGGACTTGGAATGATCAAGAGGTAATATTTTAACTTAAACCAATATCTGTTTGGTTAAGCTAAAATTCTGAGTTAAAATCTAAGTCAAAGTCCACGATTAATTTTAACTATATATTTAATTGAATTCGCAACTTTTCAATTACACGTTTCATTAACTTTTATTAGAATCTTCTAAAAATTTGACATTTATCTAAAGCAAATAGGGATTAAATGACAGTCCATACACATCTTAAAACCAAAAGCATTTTCCCATGTCAAGTACTTTGTATTTTGAATTTCATGTGGCGTGATTAAAGTTTGTTAGGCGAGAAAGATAGTTTAATTGACATCATTTACCACAGTTGAAGAAGAATTTTGTCCATATTGGATATTTCATTTGATGATCGAACATACATATGATGACAATTAAATTGCATTGTTGTGCAGGGCTTTCTTGGGAAGTGTTAGTGACCATGTTGCTCATCATGCAAAATGCGCCGTTCTCATTGTAAAGCCATCGAAAGAATCCCAAAAATAGTTGTAAAAATGTGGCTTTGAAGTCTTCACTTATGTGCACGAGATAGTTATCCCAAAAATAGTTGTAAAAATGTGGCTTTGAATTCTTCACTTATGTGCACAAGATAGTTACTCTTTTCATAGCTCTGCGAAAAAGGATTTGATCGTCTTCCGTTTTACTTTATGCTTAAAACTTATTTTTGGCCGCATTTGCTACTCAATCATGCTCTGCAGATTTGTACTGAGAAAAAGGTTAGTTTCTACAACTTGTTTAATCGTACTTGATCGTATGGCTCATGATGGGATTGAACGGTGTTGAAAAAGAAACGAGCTAAAATCTTATTTAGTCCGATCTTTATTTAATAAAGTGTAATACTTGACGTACTAATAAAAGTGATCTTGAAGTTTATAGTACTTGGCTTCACTTCAATGTCACAATGCCCTATTGAATACTCAAATAAATTAACCAATCACTTTAGTTTTATATTTCTATTTGGAACATAATTATTATACATAGCTTTGCATTTGCAGGTAGAAGCAAAAAGTTCACTCCTTGAGGGAGATCCAAAGGAAGTGATTTGTGAAGCTGCAGAGCTCATGCAAATGGATCTTCTTGTTGTAGGTAGCCGTGGACTTGGAATGATCAAGAGGTAATATTTTAACTTAAACCAATATCTGTTTGGTTAAGCTAAAATTCTGAGTTAAAATCTAAGTCAAAGTCCACGATTAATTTTAACTATATATTTAATTGAATTCGCAACTTTTCAATTACACGTTTCATTAACTTTTATCAGAATCTTCTAAAAATTTGACATTTATCTAAAGCAAATAGGGATTAAATGACAGTCCATACCCATCTTAAAACCAAAAGCATTTTCCCATGACAAGTACTTTGTATTTTGAATTTCATGTGGCGTGATTAAAGTTTGTTAGGCGAGAAAGAGAGTTTAATTGACATCATTTACCACAGTTGAAGAAGAATTTTGTCCATACTGGATATTTCATTTGATGATCGAACATACATATGATGACAATTAAATTGCATTGTTGTGCAGGGCTTTCTTGGGAAGTGTTAGTGACCATGTTGCTCATCATGCAAAATGCGCCGTTCTCATTGTAAAGCCATCGAAAGAATCCCAAAAATAGTTGTAAAAATGTGGCTTTGAAGTCTTCACTTATGTGCACGAGATAGTTATCCCAAAAATAGTTGTAAAAATGTGGCTTTGAATTCTTCACTTATGTGCACAAGATAGTTACTCTTTTCATAGCTCTGCGAAAAAGGATTTGATCGTCTTCCGTTTTACTTTATGCTTAAAACTTATTTTTGGCCGCATTTGCTCGCCAAAATATTAACGAACTCTTGCTGACTTTTGTTGAAGGTTGTGGTATGTGGATGTAAATAATATAATGGGATTCCATCACTTGGACTAAAATCCTTGGGATTCCATGCTTGGTCGATATATAAGACATTGAGTTTAAAGGCACTACCATTTTTATTGATATCATTATGCCCATTCTTGAGCTTCCATATCTAAAAAAAAAAAAATTGTTTTGTTTTTCAAACTCAATTTTAATTTCATATTCTTTCAATAAAATAATTTTATACATAAATTCAATTTTTTTTTTTGCATTCTTCAAAAATAACTATTATATTCTCTCAAAATAGGTTCAAACTAGAGTTGTAAGTGAAAATTGAAAAATTGAACCGAAATCACATTTTAGAAATCGTCGTTTTGGTGCCGCGTGGATTCAGTCAACAAAATGGTTTTGAATTAAATCAAACCGGTCAAAATGGTTTGGTTTAGATTTGAGAATTTTAATTGCGATTTAAAACCAAACCAGATCGACAAAAAATACATAAAAATAAAAAAATGATTTTTTTTGAAAATTACAGGGATCCCTAGTGTTAAAATCATAAATTCTAAAATCAGATTTGTAGTTTACTATTTCAAAAATCAGAAATATCTAATTAAATTTACTATAATTAAATATAATTATATGCCAAATATATATATGTGATAACAGCGTATCCCGTGATTTATAGGATCAATTTTAGAAAACCATCTCAGCTTCCTTATAATTCGTAACTCCTCCCACGACTAACGTTTCATCTTCACGCAGCAAGACCGCAAAGAGTTCTCCATCATCGCCGGTGACTGATTCCGACATAATCGTGACCATAATTTTAACGCACATCGCTTTCTCATCACACAACAATCAATCGCTCCTCCTTTTTCGTCCGGTCAAGGCAGCAAACACGAAGATTAATGGCTCGTTCTAGGAGTGTAAATAGGTGGGAGATTGCGGTCGAGGCCTCAGATAGAAGAGGTAAAATACAGGTAGGCGAACAACATGAAAGTATCCAAAATCTACCACGAAGAAGGTATTTTGCAAATCTCAGTTAATACCTTATATGCAAACTTGAAATCGATGGGTGTTGAGTATTGACGACATGTTATATATTTATGAAGTATGCTCTGTTCTGATATATGAGTTGAGATCTATTTTTGTGACCTCATCAGTTGACCCGTTCGAAGGAAGTTCGAAATTATATGATTTACACATTATTAATGTCTGATTTACCTTTGTGTGTGAAATGCACATCCATATGTGAAAATCTCATTGTTTACCTTGTTGGCCAAATTCATTGTCTGGACGTTGTCATTCTATATACATTTGTGACATTTTTGTTTTTCTTGTTTTGTGATCAATATGCAGATGTGGAAGTTCATATCATATACACAGTTCAAATGACACTTTCACAATTCATATGTAAGGAAGATTGCATGCATAGAGTGAAATGATGATCATATGTGAGGTTACAGATTGTTACGAATAGGTCACAGATCATAAAGATGCATATAAAAGAGTCACAGACAATAATATATGCATCACACATCACATGCATTATTAATTTTTGTGGAATCACGTGGTCACAGAATATATGCATCAGTGTTTTCCCTGGCGGGCAGGTCACATATATTTATGAATAGGTCACAGATCGCAAAGATGCATATAAAAAGAGTCATAGACAATGATTTATGCACCAACCATCAAATTAATTATTAATTTTCGTGAAAATGTACGTATAGTTACAGAAAAATATGCATTCGTGTCTTCTCGTGCGGGTCAGGTCACAGATATTTACGAATAGGTCACAGTTATTTAGGAATAGGTCACAGATCACAAAGATGCATACACAAGATTCACAGACAATGATTTATGCATAAAAAATCACATTACTTATTAATTTTTTTGTGAAATCAAACGTCACATCCACTTCATGTGCCACTACTATTGGATTTGTAACCATTCTAACTCTGTACAATTATTGCATTGTGATAGCATATTGATCGCAAGATCTACGTACCTTTTGTACTTCAAATAGTTTAGATGTAGTATGAGCATAGTTCTTAATTTGTAAAAGCTAGGATCTGAAGTGTTTTTTTTGCTGGATTCTGAATCGCAAGACCTACATACCTTCTGTAATTGGGGCTTTGAATTAGCCTATGATAAAGCAGCTGTTTTGAGTGATTAATTTGCAGTCTAATTTTCAGATATTGCATCACACTTTTTGATAGGTTTTTGCAGCGTACATGTGTAGCGCACAGTCACAGGAATTTGCCCAGTTCTTGTATTTGTAGTACATAATCACACGTTAATGTATATGTTACAGCACAGGTTTCAGCCTATCATATTATGTTTGTAGCATAGGTCACAGACATATTTTCGCATGGGTTATGCAAGTCACAGGTTTGGTATATGATCTAAGGATGGGTTACATTATGTTACATTAATCTTCATACAGCAGTTCGCATGCAATTTTCATATTGGGCACACTATACGTACATTTTCAGTACACATAGAAGTCACATACGATTGTGTGTTGGTTACAGGACAGGTCACAATCTCTATCATGTGACTCTCTAATGTGACATAGCATACAGGTCACAGATTCACGTTACAAAGTCACATCCCAAGTCAAATTACTGAGGCAGAAGTCACAAACATCTGTGTAGTTGTTACAAGTGAGACCACATAGAATCCTTATCATGTGACCCACTACGTTGACAAAGTAGATAGGTTACAAATTCATATTTATCAACCATAAGATGAACTGTATTTTGAAAATAGAGGTCACAAATTACAACATAGTGGTCATAAGACTGATCGTAAGCAAGATCAGGGTAACATGTTTCTGGTCACAGACTATGATGTTTCATTTGTTGCTAAATGAAGTATAATCAATGTCAGTCCAATGACTGAGGATCATGTCCAAACAATAAAATGAATATTGAAAAGCCTCATGTCCATTGCTACTTCTCCAAAAGTGACAGAAGATGAAAATATCAGGTCGTGGCCAATTTTATTACGTCCACACCGTAGGTCACATACATGTTATCACATGGGTGTTACACGGATCAAAGGATAAAGGTCACAAGTTCTTAGTCACATATCCAGCAACAAGTTACAACTACTAGTATCCGAATACACAATGTCCCCCAATGTACGAAAGTCACATTGAACCTCTGTACGAGATCACAACACGTATGTTCATTCCACTACGTCCACTTGCTAGTCACATAGTTCATCTTGATGAGGTCACAAATACATGCATTTCAATCTATTCTCGCTCAACCACGTAGTTTATGAAATGAAGTTAGATAGTGGTACAAGGAATCTGGCATTTGCATCCATTTATGATTTCCTAGATTTTTTTGAAATGTGCTATAATGCAAGGATTTGACAATACACCAAAATCAATTAACGCATCATTCTATTATAGTCATGAAATCATTTCCTAATTGAAGGACTCACGAATGATTAGAACACTTGAATTTAAAATTGAATTAGAATTACGTACTCGACCTTAGATTTCGATCGGGTACAACACGGCGACGCAAAAATTTCACCTGTGAAATTTTCGACAATTGCAGTTGAATTCATTCAGATCTATGGCTTTAATTCATCTTCTGAGAGATGAATTTGTAGGAGTTGGGCATTTTCATGTCTTCTATTTGTCGTATGAGCTACAATTTCTAATCTGGAAGGTGAATTCGTTATGATAGAGCCCAGGATTTTATGGTAAGTTGATGCTGTTTTTTAGCAATCTGATTGATATGTATATCTTTCTGGTTTTTGAAACTTTAAAGTTGGTATCTTAGAATTGAAATCTCCTATACTTACGCTCGGGTTTATAAATTTTCCCCAATGTAAAATTCAATAGTTTTGTCCATATTTATTAAAACCGGACTGAACCGACCGATTCAGCCCAGAAAACGGTGAACCAGACACTGATCCGGTCTAGTTAGCACAATTTGATCCATTTACAATCAAACCAGATAAGAACCGCCCAAACCCATTCATATATGTCATAAATCGGTGGGTTTAAGTAAACTGAAAACCAGTTTACGTGTGAATCGATTTTTGTGAAATTTGTACCTAATAAAATTTATATCGAAGTTGGATAAAGTGAGAATCGAACCCTCATTACCTTGTTGAAAGGTTGAAGCCTTGACCACCATGGTAGATGTAGAATTGCGACAAATGATGTGAGCCAAATATATATATTTAGTTTAACTAGAATGACATGAAATAACATTTATACTGTTTTTTATTTAAAAAAATATTTTTAATTAAAATTAAGAACTAACATTGATCCACCGGTTCAACCACTAACCCTCGGTTGAACCATTGACCTAATGACCCGATGGTTTTTTTGGGTCGATGATCGGGTCGAGTCTGATAACTATGGTTTTGTTATTTGTGGGTATTTTTGTCAATTTCTAATGTTTAATACATATTTATTATTATTATTACCTAATAATCTTAATTTATATCTAATAATCTCAAAATTAACATAATCTATCAAAAATTCTTTTCCTCTTCAGAATTCAGATGAACTCCAAACAACACCCGACACAATCTTGAGCCACCGACATTACACACACTTTTTCTTCAAATTTTTTACGCCTCTACAAAGTTGAATTGTAGTTCATTACACCAAATCGGAGACAAAGAGATCCTAGGCCTTAGGTGATAATATTTACTACGAATAAAGTTTCAAATAAATAGTTTTTTTGAGCAAACTAAGGTAAGAATCTGAAATTAAATGCGTTTCGTAACAACATACAAACGTAAACTTGTGTAATTGTTATGTTTATATATTATAAACAAATATTTTATTATTGTGGTTGGTTATTCTTTTTATTTAATCAGTAACTTTTTTTTAGATATGATGATCACGAGGTCTTGTTGGATATCATTATATTTTTTAGATCTTATATCTCGTTTAGTAGACTTGTATTGTAACGTTATCATAACGTCATTAGCCTAAAAAAGGTTTACAAAAATGGAAAAAAACTATGTTTTAGGTTACTGTGATTTTAATTTGATTTAGTAGATATTTAAATTTGTAGTAGATATATTTAGCCCTTATTCGAGCCATATTTCACATGTTATCATAATGAGAAAATTGATCATTAAAGAGGATGCTGGGTCCCACGCAAGAAACAACAGGTCGACAAATGCGGTTGGACTTGTGGGTTAATGGTCCAAACTTTCATTTTTTTGTTCCAAAAATATGGCTCAAACAAGAGCTTAGATTTTTTTAGATTTATTACTAGCAAGATATAAATATATATTGAAATCAATGTATTAATATCATAAAAGTAGATAGACAAAAAAAATACGATGAAATCGGTGGTTTAAAATCGGACCAAATCTTTAGGTTTAAGCTTGAGTTTTTTTCAAATCGTTCAAAATGGTTTGGTTTAAGTTTGGGTTTTTCTCAAACCGGTTTAAACGGTTTGATTTGAAATTTGTCAAAAATCGGTAAGATCGGACCGCTTACAGCCCTAGTTCAAATACACACACACACACACACACAATAATAATAATAATAATAATAATAATAATAATAATAATAATAATAATAATAATAATAATAATGATATTGTACATTTTTAGTTTGCTTTTTCAATTAACATTTGTTTTTTTAACTTCATCTTTTATTTAATATATTTATATAGTGGTTATCAGTTATAATGTGATTTGAATAATTAAAGGAGTAGACTATTGAAATCTATAATTTGTTAAATGCAATTTTCTAAAATTTAAAATAGAATAAAAAATATTCTTCATTTTAATTCTATAATACACGAGAAGAATATCATAATTAATGCATATATTTGTATGTGCAAACACAGTTATGGCCCCGTTTAATTTCCATTTCTCTTAAAATGCATTTTTTCCCTCTTCTTTTCAATCACACAATTTTTATTAAAATAATATTACACATAAATAAAAAAAAATTCCTCATTTTTCATCTACATTTTATCCATCAATTTGCTATTTTAAAATTCATTTTTCTATAAAAATAGGTGTCAAACACCCTCTATAAAAAACTTATTTTACCAAGTACGCAAATATCCATTTGAAAATTATAGTAATTCTGAAATAAAAATTTATCAAATGCTTAATTGATTTTTATTTTTTATTTTTCCCTCTCAACTTTTCAGTATAGTTAGAATAAATTATTTTTAGATCACACTCATGCCAAATCAAGTCTTATAATGGTAATAGGCATGCCAAATATCTTAGAGCATCTTGAATGAAGTGAATTGTACCAACAAGTGTGTCACAGCACCCCCAAGTACTTGTATCTCCTTTACTTTAAAAGAGAGGATCCAACATTTACTGTTCAACCTGAGGCAGAGGTTTCACATTGAACTGATTTTGTACTATAGCTGAACTCGTTATGCACTATTCATAAAAAAAAAAGCTTTCTGGAAACAATAATGAAATATGGCAGCATTATTGCTGTCTTTGTTGACTTTATAGAACCATTTGCTCAGGGTGGTTGTACCTTCACTTAAAAAATATCCTCTCACCTCGTTAGATGTTGTAGCTTCCAGAAATGAAATTAATGAGACTATTTTATTGCCTCCATTATTGACTTACACAAGTGAGTTACTGTAGCTGTCACTTCCAAAGAAAATCTTCTCGTGTATCATGAGAGAGTGAGGCAAAAAATATGCCGGGAATTGTAGGAATTTTTTTATCATACCAGTTACTATTCGTTCAGGAAGCATTCACTAGAACAAAGTTTAGTTTTTACGACGTGCATTATATGCCGTAAATAATACTCTACGGCGTACAACAACATGCCGTATAAAGCAATGCCGTAAAAGTGGTCTTTTTTACGGCGTGCATAGTACGATGTAAATGGACCGCCGTTATTACTGTTACGGCGTTCAATCGCACGCTGTGAAAAGCATCACACTTTTTATGGCGTGTAGTTGTACGCCGTATAGAGTGTTATATTCATGGCATCACAGCATGCCTAAATGTACCGTAAATGAGCATTCACCTTCTACGGCATGTAGTTGTACGCCATATAAAGTGTTAAATTCATGGCATCACGACATGCCTAAACACGTCGTAAATGACCGTTCACCTTTTACGGCGTGCAATTGTACGCCGTATAAAGTGTTATACTCATGGCATCACGGCATGCCTATACACGCCATAAATGAGCATTCAATTTTTTTTTAAAGTCATTTATTTATTTTAATACTAGCAAACTTGTAATATTAACAAAATAAAATTACTCCATATATAATCAAGTTTTCCATTGTTTCGATAAAAAGAAATATTGACTACGGTTCAATACAATATGCCAATGTAAAATTCATCTAAACAATTCTCAAAAAAATTTGACTACTATTGTATACGCCAATCGCCATTCAACTAATAAGCCTGTAGATATTGAGGTTCCGTCATATAACAAAAAATTATTAAACCTATCAAAGTTCACTTCTTTGACCGACAATTTAGCTACCCCACAAAATATGGATCCCCTGCACACCACGAAAATAATAAGGATATAATTAATAAGCATCCAAATCAAAAATATATTAAACAACCCAATCTTCAATAGAGATCGAACATAAAGCTAAATGGAATTAAAATAGAAAAGAAGTTAAGCATACCTTCGTTGTGATTACAGCGAATCCACTTCGATATACCTACTTGGCCATGCAATTGTACTTCCTAATGCATCTTCCAGAAGAAAAATCTCACACGTGGGATGATATAAGATAACATTATCGATCACTTCATTAACCCAAACTCTCTAACATTTGTTACCAAGGGGTACATGATGCACTAGATCATTTGGATTTGTTGATGCGATTTCACCTTTTGCAACAATATCAGCTTTCCCAAACCAATATAACAATTTGCACTTCTTATTTTGAAGGTTATCTAAACCATTCAAACTTCTGTCTCTAGACTGTAAAATTAATATCCAGTTGTACAATTTATTATTTTGAATATAGAAAGTATATGTAATTTAAAATAACATCCATTGATACATTATCTTCTTGTTCAGCACTTTTACTCTTGACTTAAAACAGAGCTTTTAATTCTTTAATTTCATCCCTCAACTCTTGAACTTGAGTTTGCAAGTTATGGTTGTTCACCAAAACATTAAACTTTGAAGGGGTCGCACCGAAACCAAGACCTCTTACCCGTCTTGGACGTTCTGGACCAAGTACTTTTACAACACCATCATCTTCAAGTGAGTGTTTGCTTGGAGAGGAAACCGTCTCTGAATATACTTTTATTTTATTCTGATATGAGAAAATACATTAATGAGCTAAAATTACCTAATATAAGCTTTAAATGATAAAAAAATTACTAAAAGCAATATTGTTACCAATGTTTCCCCAACTGATTCATTAATAAGTTCACCATTTTTTTGCGTATGTCCTAGAATATAAACATCATCTCTCGTTATCGAATCAGGATCTTCACTTTGAGCACGCTGCATTTTACATTTCATGTGTGGTAGTTTGTATAACATTTATAATTTTTAAAACAAATTTAACTTTAATTTAACAATTTTTTACCATTTCAGCTTCTAAGCGAGCAAAACCCTTTCTACTTGTTGTATGCAACATGGTTTGACTTGCTCTCATCTTTTTGAATCTTTCATTCTTTTCCTACAACATCATTTATGCACATTATAATAGACATAAATGTTGTGGCAAATATATAACAGATGCAGTAAGCAGTATGTTGCAAAGCACAATCAATATACAAAATCAATGAAAGCTTACCTTATATGGTTGAGAATTGCGTTCTTTGACAAATGCTTGTCATTCTTCCATTGATTCAATATTGTCGGGCTTGAGGAGAGCAGCAACTCGTGTCATGCCAATTGTTTTTCCTTTGTTATTGATTGCTTTAAGCAAATTACATCGATGATCTCGCCAATTTTTTCCCATTTTTTGCATGATGTATTTTCTATGACAAGCATCGGCATCAGACTTTTGTTGAATCAAAGTACACAATATTAATAGTAATTTCATTTAAATTATATAAAAGATGTGACATATATATTACCTGCACATGCTCCCATATGTCATCAGGAAATTCTTTACTCATATCTTTCCAATTTTTCCATGTAATTGGTATAAGTTCTCTAGTTGTGGTCCCAATAAATGATGACAACTTACTTGAACCCTTTCAAATTGGCTGTCCTCTTTCATTAAACTCTACTGGTACTTTGTACATTTTCCCTTGTTTAGATAATTCAATTTTGCTCGACCCCTTCCATTCTTTTTGTTTTCAGTATTACTAGCACTATTTGGCAACCCTTCTACCACATCATTTTCTCGTACATCTAGAACATAATTAGAACCTCCTTCTGATAGTCTTATCCCTTCATTTCCTTCTCTTGTGGCGGCAACAATTGAAACTTGTTTAGCTCTTTTTGATTTCTTATAGCCTTGATTAGATGACTGTATTAAACAAAAAAGAAAAAACAAGTAATAATTTAATTAAATTTTACATAAAAATATTAAAAAATAATATACATACAATCCAGGAACTTACTTCACCATGATATGTCATCTTATTTCCAATCGTGTGAACATCAGCATCCACAAAACTCAGCTTTCATCGTTTGCATCTACAAAAATAAAGCAAGAAATAATGGAATAAGAGACATTAAAGACATTAACCTCAATATAATATCATATCAATATAAAATTAAAATAAAGCAAGAAAGACTTAAAGATATACAATTACCATATTCAATATCAATGCCCTCACAATCATGCCTCGCATAATCGTCATCTTCAGCAGTCATATCAACACTTAATGCATCTAATGTGGATGGAGTATAAGCCTCCTCATCAAAATTTTCTAACTCATGAAATCCTCTTGGAGGTGCCTTTAATACAATATACCAACTAGATGTATCACTCTCTCTAGAATAAAAAACTTGTTTTGCTTGTGATGCTAAAATAAATGGATCTCTTTCAAATTGATATTGTCCTCTATGAAGATTTACCAATATAAATCCTTCTTCAATCTTGACTCCACTATCAATATTTGCCCAATCACAATGAAACATGGGAACTTTAAAACTGTGATAATCTAGTAAAATTATGTCTCTTATAACTCTGTTATAAGATATTTTACCAACTACGTGGCTTGTATCCTTCACATTAGACCGACAAATAGTTTGTTCTTCAATAGAAACACCACTGTTCTGTGTACTTCTACTAACATCGGTTGTATGAAATCGATGTCCATTGATAACATAATCAGAATGTGACATTACATCACATCTAGGCCGACGTGCAAGCCATTTCAGTGTATTAGACATGTTACAATTGTCTTGTTTGCCTTTCTCTGTGAAGTGAAAGTCTCCATATGTCTCATTTGTAAAAAAGTTTCATTCTTTGCAATACGACTATGTGAATTTTTAATCTCCTCTTTGTGCATCCTAAACGAAAATAAATAAACAAATGGTAAGATAAGTTTATGAGAGAACATTAATTAATATTAAACTAATAAATTAACTAACTTCATTTCGTTATATACGGCTCAATTGCAACGCTGTTAAATAGCACATAACGATGAACGACCTCTAACATTTCTTGACTCAAAGTCTTTGAATTTCCTTTAGAGATCGCACGTCTAGCAATAATTGTTTCATTTTCGAAATCCTCATTCCTAGTATGTCGAAGACCTACTTCAGCAGCTTGTTTCATGTAACTACTACAAAAATGTATACATTCATCGGTTAAATAACGCTCTGCGATGCATCCCTCAGGTTTTGAACGATTTCTAACATATCCTTTAAGTGTTTTCATAAACCTAATTCACCATATAATAGGCATGATATATCTAGGTAATTAGAAAAAGAAAGTTTGAGTAGTTAATAAAAATATAATAGTAATTTACCTTTCAAATGGATACATCCAACGATATTGTACAGATCCACCAATACGAACTTCAAGCCCAAGGTGGATGGTTAAATGAATCATTATGTCAAAAAAAGATAGTGGAAAATACCTTTCTATCATACACAAAGTCATAGCAACATCCTCCTCAAACTTTTCTAATTTATTTTTATCGATGACTCTTTGACAAATTTCGTTAAAAAATGCACATAGTCGAAAAATTGAATTTCTTGGTCCATCAAATAAAAATCCTCTTAATGCAACTGGTAACAACTGTTGTATGAGCACCTGGCAATCATGAGACTTCAGATTTAAAATCCTATTATCTGCTAATGATACACATTTTGAAATGTTAGAGCTATAACCATCAAGTAATCTTAAATCAAATAACCTCTTACAAAATAACTCTTTCTCTTTTTTGGATAGCATATATGATGATGCCGGTAGGTAATATGTATTTCCTTTCAATTCTGGAAGAAGATCCTTTTTAATACCCATATTGAGTAAATCCTTATGAGAATTTAGCCAATCTTTCGATTTTCCCTTCATATGCAAAATAGTGCCAAGAATGCTTTCGCAAACATTCTTCTCAATGTGCATTACGTCCAAATTATGACGCAAAAATAATGTCTGGAAATAACAATATAAATTTAGAAAAAAAAAGTTTAAGCAGAGAAATAACTAATTCAAAATAGTTTAAAATGACTAACCTCCCAATATGGTAGCTCAAAGAATATTGACTTTTTTCTCCATGGCCAATTAGAATCTGATTTTTTTTATCTTTCTTTTTTCCCCTATTTTTCCCCAATTATTGCTAATATTTTTTACTAAACACGTCACTTCTTGACCGGTTAATATTCTAGGACTAGGCCTATGCTCCTTGTTTCCATCAAACCAAGCTTCTTTCGACCGATATGGATGATTATATGCAAGAAATCTTCTATGACCCATGTATGAAAATTTTCAACTACATGTCAACCATTTTGCACATTTGGATAACCCACAAACCGGACATGCTGCTTCGCCTTTCATAGGATATCCTGATAAGCTCCCATAAGCTGGAAAATCATTAATTGTCCACATTAGCACAACCTTCAAATTGAAGGTAGACTTAGTAAATCCATCATATACTTCAACACCAATATTCCACATCTCCTTTAATTCTTCTATTAGTGGTTCTAGGAACACATCTATATCATTTCCAGGTTGTTTGGACCTGGGATTAATAAAGTCAACAACAAATTTTCCTTAGACATGCATATCCAAGGAGGGAGATTATATATAACTAGTATCACTGGCCAACAACTATACCTAGAACTTAGGTCACCAAAGGGATTAAATCCATCAGAAAATAGGCCAAGCCTAAGATTTCGTGGTTTTGTTGCAAAACAAGGCCATTTTTTATCAATTCTCTCCCAACCTAATGAATCAATTGGATAATGCATTTTTTCCATCTTGACTTTTGTGATTTGAGTGCCATATTAGTTGTTCTGCCTTATCAAGTGACCTAATCGTTCTTCTAAATCGTGGTATAATTGGAAAATATCGCAAAACCTTTGCAGGTATCCCTTTTTGAATCTTCTTAGTCCGTTCGTTAATTTTCCACCGTGAAGATCCACATTTTGGACATGTATCCAAATTTACTAAATCCTTTCTAAACAAGCAAAAATCATTTACACATGCATGTATCTTCTCATAGCCTAAATCAAAGGTGTTCAATAACCTTTTCGTTGAATTGCAAGAATCAAGAAGGGTGTTCCCATGTGGTAGCATATCTTGGATAATATCAAGAAGTTCATTAAAATCATTGTCAGATATACCATGAGTAGCTTTAACCTTATACAAGACAACAATTGCAGATACCATTGTATACTTCGTGCAACCAGGATATAAAGGAATTTCAATGTCGTCATATAAATTTAAAAATTCTTTCTCTCTATCTTCATTTTCGGATTCCACATTATTGTGATCCTAAAAAAATGCATCTCTATACATCCTATACGTCTCTAAATTTTCTACATCTTGAAGAGGCGATGATGCTGCATTCGGTTTTTCCCTATTAAACACCCAGGTAGTATACGTAGGATTCATGCCATTAATGTCCATACATTATATCAAAATGTTGGTGAAATAGGTTTTTGCAACATTTGCAAGGGCATATGACCTTTTCTGGATTCCCAGCATTGGTTTGAACCATATTTGCAAATTTTCTAGCACTATGTTGATATGGTTCTGAAACTCTATACAAAGTACGCTAGATAAATAATCTAAAAAGCATTTATGGGCATATTTGAGAGGACAAGATCACCTTGATAAGTATACCCAATCTTTATCCATGATAAGATATACCAACACTATTAATTTATAATCTATTTAAACACATTAAAAATGAAGTGAAAAATGATTATATTAGGACATCATAGAAATCAGGTTCCAATTAGGTAAGTCATTTTGACAACAAATTTTCACACAAACTGAAATTACAAAAAAATAATTCAAACCTGAATTAAAATAGGTGAAATTGGAACAATTAGAACCTCCTTCAACGCTACTGCAATCTGTTGAGAAATTAATTGAGAACTTGGTTAAGAATATGAACAAGAGAAATATTCAAGGAGGGACAGAGGGAATTTCAAAGATTTCCCTAGTGCAATACCAAAAATAGAATACGAACTCATAGAGAAACTCATGAGGGAATACTTACAATTAGCTCAGATTTTAAATTATCTTGAGTTCGATCGACTTATCTCGTTCAACACCCCTATATTCATATTTCAAGATATTTTAATATTTTCTTCTTATATTTTTGTATTTATGAAAAGGGAAAAGGTACTGTGGGTATTGGTAGAGTAATTCATGTTGAGAAAGGGAGGGTTGATATGTTGTTTGATGAATCAATTTAATGGTATCTTGAGACAAAAAATCCTTGCTAACATCTGTTGTTTACCAGAATGAAAGAAGTCTTCTGGTTAACAAATCCCACTAATCAACAAGAAAACAAGAAAAGATTAAAGAAAAATTTATAGCACGCATAATTATATATTAGATACAAATCCAAAA